GATAAAAATTGTAGAAATTTATCTTTTGAAAATTCATATTTGCTTCGCTTCCACCAGATAATCGCGTTTTCAAGCCTAGGCAATATTCGACGAAATACTTTTTAAAAATTGTAATTAAAGTGTTATAAAAAATAAACGAAATTTTTTATTGATAACAAAATGTTATCAACCAAGCTCCACACATCACCAGATGGTCTGAGCTACTCGTACGAGCAAATACAAATGTTTTCGTGGACAGATATTTACACAAAAGTTAATCAGTGATTTTACGCGTACATTAGAATTCATATATACATACATATGTGGATATGTCTATATGTTTGTTTATTCTAAAAACTTTTCATTGCTGCCACACCATTAACATTAAAAAATAATAATTTGCATAAAGCTTTAGCATTCTTTAAACAAATGACTAGCTAAGCATAAAAGTTGCTCGCAAAAGCTTGCATGAAAGTTTTCTAGTCACTTGGCAATGACATTGCCGGTGTCATGCAAAGTGATCGCGCGATCGTGAAATATATGTGCATAGTATATATGAGTACAATGTGAATGGTGTGAATGTCTAGTTAATTAATGTGCATACATACACATATACATACGTATAAGTGTGTTAGATTTTGAATTGGAAAGTGATTCCGGTGTTGCGCCCTTGCTTAAAACAGCTGGTGTGAACACATACTTATGTAAATAAATGCGTGAAAATGACAAGCAAAAATCATACGCTTAGTGCGGTGTAATGGCACGTAGTTTTAGTAATAAAAAAAAGATTGAGGTTAAAGTCAGGCGTAGGCATACAGAAGGTTGAAGTCTAAGCTGTACTTTTTCAATTTTTTGTTTGACCTCATGGTGGCAATTAAGTTTATTACTTAGTTATGAAATCAGATTATGCCTGCTTATTGTGTATTTTACTGTTTAGAAGAAAACGGAGTTAAGAAACAACGCTGGAAAGCGAAAAATTAATTCGAAACAGTCGTAAACTGTTATATAACATATTAAAAATATTAAAAACATTAAAAATACGGGTATAATACCCTTCACAGTATAATCACCCTTATAGCATAAAAAGATATTCATTTAGATGTTAATCCAGCAGTTTGTAGGGCAGCTATATGATATAGTAGTCCGATCTGAGCAATATTTTCGCAGATTGTAGTGTTGGCTTAAGCAATAACTTATGCCAAATTTCGTGAAGATATCTTGTAAAAATTTTTTTTTTTCCATACAAAAACTTGATTTTGATAGATCAGTTTGTATGGCAGCTATATCATATAGTGATCTGATATCGGCGGTTCCGACAAATGAGCAGCATCTCAAAAAGAAAAGCTCGCGTACAAAATTTCAGTTCGGTATCTCAAAAAGTGAGAGAGTCGTTCGCGTATAAACAGGCGTACATGGCTAAACCGACACAGCTCGTCACGCTTATCATATATATACATAAGTATATACTTTATAGGGTCATTGCGAGTTTCTTCTGGGTTTTAGAGTATGAAAATTGTATTTAAAACCCAAATAATTTTCTTTTTTAAGGCAGCTTGTAAACGAAGTATACATGCAGGCGCTACATAACACTCACTGCATACAACTTCACTCTCAACGGTGTTGAGTTAATGAAAATTTTGTTAGAAGCATAATTTCTTAACAAAATGTGTTAATTTCAAAAATGTTAAATAATAAATAATAATAATTTTGCGTCTGACTCCATAATGCCATATTTCATACATTTTAAAAATGTTTGTGTGGCTACCAATTTAAAGCAATTTTTATACAAAACTAGCATCATTAATAATTATTTAACAATAGTGAGCTTTTATGATTTTTCAGGATCTTTATTAATAATTATTTAGCAGTATTATAATTTTCTAGGATCTGTTTGACGCTTAAAGCTATTTAAAAGCCTAACGCATTAAAATAAAGCCTATCCCTAGGCGTCACTTACCCTTCAACGTTTTCAACTTCGTTAGGTTCGTTAATATTTCTTTAAATTCTGCAAAAACAGTTTATTGCTTGCAGAGATAGCCTAGCAAAATTCAGTTTTTTTCCGAACTAAAAAATCTAACAGCTAACAGAGTTTCGCAGCCTTTAACGCGCGACTTTGCAGAACTGCGTGATCACGCGTAATAATTTTATTTTGGAAATGTTGAAGAGTTTTAATACGAAAAAAAATAAAGTTGTGAAATTCAACTATCGCAGGTAGAAATAGTGTGACTACAATTTGACACAAAATCAGTGGAAATTTAGCAAGTCATTTAATTAATATAATATAATTAGACCAATGTAAATTTTTTATCAAACTTTGTGTTCTTATCTTCTAGCAACTCGAATCCAAGTCGAAATAGATGTTGCAGATAACTTTCTGCTGATTTGAAAGTCATATATATATAATATAAAAGTTATACAAATACTATCAATTACATTTAGCGCGACCTTATCTCCTTCCCAATGCCACACCATATTACGGTATAAATAGCTATAAATATGCCGATAAGAAAATCGTGAAATTTTTGAGTAGAAGTCAAGCGACTCTTAAACGATTTGATTTTACAAAGGCACAAACTGTTTGTATGTACACTACAAACATACATATGTAGTATATAGTGAATTTACAATATTTTTCTTTTTGGGTTTGTAGATATGTATGCGTAAACACGACAATTTTTTAATTTAATTGCAGCTCTGCCGGCAAATCTCCTCGTCCGTTATGAATAATAAAGGTTATCAAATATTTGCTACAGGATACCCCCTAAAAATTTTTGCATTATTTGTAAGATTTATATACATATATACTTATATGTTATGTATGTATGTATGTATGTGAAGCTATATTTATTAATTATGTATTTAGCAAAGGACTCTTACTCATTTAGGGAAAGCTACACATATTGGAAATTCTTAAAAATACCTAAATACTTAATATAAATATATACATAGATTAATACCATATAAATAATTTTTTTTTTTTTTGTATATTTAAAAAAAATTTATAATTATTAATTTTTAAATTTATTAATATCAATATTATTATTATTATAATTATTATCATTATTATTATTATACCTTTTTTAAGTTCTATCGATGGAATAGAGCGCGGAGAACTTTAAGGAACCAAGTTGAAGAACTAAACATGGAAAACCTAATAGCAGAAATGATAGCTAGCGGCGAAAACTAGCAGCAAATTGCCTCATACGTGAAACATGTACTACGCATTAAGAAAAAGGACATGGACGTGGACCACCCGACCAATTCCACTCAAAAGAAAATAGTCAGCTTGATGCTAGCTACAAAACTGTAGGCATCCCTATAAGCAGTTAGAATAGAAACTGACCCGCAATGGGACCATCTTGGAAACCTTGCCCTGATGTAGTGTGCAAGCGGTTCTGGGGCAAGGGAAGAATCCATAATAGAAGGGGGGAGTGTTTTAGTGGGTACAGCACACATGTAGGATGTCAGTCCCTATATGGTGCGAAGTAATTTTAAACACTTCTTACAGCCTAAAGAAAATTATTATTATTAATGTTATTATTATTATTTTTATTTTTATTATTATTATTACTATTTTTTTGTTATTCATGACCACGGTTAGAATAATGCATTTAAAAAAATTAGTGAATTATCATTTAAATTAATTTTTTTTATTTTGTATTTATTTCTTTATCTTAATTTAAAATTATTTCCAAATTTCTAAACCCAATTGCCGGATTGAAAAAAAATTGTTTTTCAATTAAATTTTTTTGAGCTTGCGTACTTCGTGCTCTAAAATTGGAATACAAAATTTAACATCTTTTTCATCCAATAGTTTTCAATAAAAAAAATCGCAACCTTGTTCATGATATTTTTTAAAATATATATTTATCTGTTTTTAATTTTAATTTTTTACAATAGAAACTATTTACATTTAAAAATATCTAACCTTACACTTTTTAAACGATTCATAAAAAATTCTTTAAAAAAATTAAAATTAAAACTTTTTATACAAAATCTTTTTTGAACTTCCATTCGGCTACTTATTTCAAGAAATTTATACATACAAGCAATAGAATATAAAAATAATTAAATAATCACAAAATTTTGCAAATAATTTTTGATGATGTCAAAAAACGCCAGAAACCACTTAGTGATTCGTTATTTAAAGAAAAGCTCGCGCGTATGTTTAATTTAAGCAATATTAAAATATCAGCGGCGGTCGAACTGCAGAGTCTTTAAATATAGTTATAGTATTATTAGTTTAGTAGGAGATGCAATTTGGTTGACCTTAAATAACTTCTCGGGAAACTTAAAAGGTTTTATGGCGCTTAAACTCCTGTTAGAAGAGTTCTAGCTTCAATATATTTTTATATCACACTTTTATATGATAAAAATATAATTTTCGAACATACGTAGTATATGTAAGTATGTATACGTATATGTACAGAAATATAATGTATTTTATATATTATTGATAAGTGTTCCAGAAGCTGTGGAGAGTCCTCTTTCTGGCCAATTAAAAGTTATCAACTTAAAAAATTGTTTGTGGTCATTATTGGAGTTTTAAAAAAAAGTTATAAACGACAACATGCTTTGCTTAAGCGTTAAAATAAATTTTGAGTCAAAAACCGTCAAATTCGGTAATTTTTATATAAATGTAAAGAGTTTAAACCAAAAAAAAATTTTTTGTCCAAAAAAAATATTAACTCGAAATTTACTTTAAAAGTTCGTCGTCGAGTGTCGTTGTTAAAAATTTTTTTTCCAAAATTTTTTTTTTTTAATCTACAAATTTTACTCTCAGTCTAAGCTTTTTTGCTCCACCCTCATGTACAGCTCATTACAGCCTCTTAAACTTTTTTAATTTGGCAAAAAAAAATATTTTATTTTTATTTCATCAAGTTCGAGCCCATTTAACAAGTTTAGATCCTTAAAAGCGCGTTTAACGAAAATATGTAATTGTTTCATATTCTAGCGATTTTTACTTTCACTTTACTGGGCGCACATCTTCATATTCGTTCATTATCACTATCATTACTTACCCTCAAATTTACCGTTGCCATTGCTAATCTGCTTGGTGGCCATGACTGTCACAATAACTATTTTCTGCGGTGCTGTAAAGCGTTTTAGTTTACAATTAAATTATTAATAAACGCTTTGCGGCGATTTTCACTCGCTACGCTACGCAATTATCTGCTCACAAACGTATGACTCGCTGACAAAGTCTCGACCGGCTGCGCCACAACGACGATCACTGCGGCTTCGAACGTTAATTGCCACTAAAACACGTTTTATGCGCAAAAATCAGAAACTTATACAACAATCGTTTGTTAGTTTGTTTGTTTGTTTCTCCACAACGGAATACCTATGTAAGCACAAGCGCGCGGCGAAGTGTTGGTAAAAACCAATGAATAGTGAATATGAAATGTTATTAAATCAAATGCACTAATGCAAAGTGATTCAACTTGTGGGACTTTCTTGATTTTTGTTGGCGCAACAGCTTAACCGTTACACATACACACACTCAAGTGTCTATACAAGTGTTTACTACGTTAGTTGTTTTTGTTATTTAAACGTTGAAGGCAGCGCGCGCACAGCAAATAAGGATTAGGCAATTAAGCGACAGACTAAATCGTCTACAAGCGAAGAACGCGGTTTGAAGACTGTCTAATTTACAATGATTCAGCTAGTTAGACCCCAACTGATGGCTGGGGAGCCAACCGAAAGCTAGCTGGCTGAGCGTAAAGCGCTCCACGTTGGCGCAGCTCAAAGAGCGCGCAATAAGTTAGCATGAAACATATATAAGTAGGTGTATGTGTTTTTTTGTGTTACAAACTTACGAGGGTGCGTTTTTAAGTAGCTTGGTTAGATTAAAAAATTAGAAAAAATGTTAACTTAAATAAAACCTTCACAAATAAAAAACTTTCCACACAAGAACTTGACTTTGATCGTTTAGTTTGTATGACAATTATTTGCTAAAGTATACCGATATCGGCGGTTTCGACAGCAGCTGAGCAGCTTCTTAAAGAGAAAAAAACGTGTGCAAAATTTCAGAGCGATGTCACAACTGAGTGACTCGTTCGTGTATATTACAGACGCACAGTCAAACAGACAGAGTACATATCTAAATCGATTCAGCCCGCCACGCTGATCATTCATATATTTTTTTTCTCCGACGTTTCTTCTGAATGTCATAATCTTTGTGGTATTTCTTACCAAAAAATTACCGTTTAATGTCCATAACCTAATTCTTTTCTAATGACAAACAAATTTTAGTATTTGAAAAACTATAACAATACCTTATTGGAAAATACATACATATATTTTTATAACATATATGTACATAGTATGTAGTATGTATGTACTTTCCGAAGGTGTATGTATTTTGCATCAATATTTATTAAATTATCGAAAGCCAGAACTAATGTGTGACCTTGTCCCGTAAACTTAAGCACGCTACTTCGGAAAATATACGCATGAGTGCTTAGCTAAATTTATAAATGAAAAAAATATCGCATAATACCTAGTGGCTGCGAGGCAGTGTGCAATGTAAACAGATAAAAGGAAATAACAACACAATAGCGCATGAAAAATGGTGTAGAAGAAAGATATGGTTTATGTAAATAGTCGAAAAATGGCCAAAAGTTCAAATTAGACACCGAAAAGTTAAAAGAAACGGTAAACAAATAAAAAAAAAATACGCGCAAATAAATCTTACAACACATACACATACAATTAAATGTGAAGAGAGGGCTCATCTCGTAGTAGAAATCTGGTATACAGCTGTACAAACACAATTTTTAAACAAAATTTATAAATATTACAATTTTTTTATTCAAATTCATGAAAACTTTAAAAAGCTGAAAAAATTTTTTTACTAAACAAAATTAAAAAAAATAAATTTTTAATAATAAAAAATTAAATTAAATAAAAAAATTAAATAAAATAAAATTTTTTTTTATGAATTAGCATATTAAAGCTGTGCTTTTTAACTTTATTAACTTCTTAGATTTATTAAAAAAATATTTATTTAAAAATTTGAAATATTTACTTAATAAATTACCAAAAAATCTTAAAATTGCTTGCCCTTAAAAAAAAGTAAATAAATATTGCTTTTGCTAAAAGTTTTACAAAATGAAAGCTTAATTTAAGACAATACGATGTTTAATGCAACGATTTTTCTCAATTTTTTTTTTATTGAAGTGAGCTCACTTTTTAAGCACAAATATCAGCTCTTGCTCTGAAAATTTAGATTTCAAGAAGTTTTTACAAAATAAAAGAACATTAAAAAATTACAGAACCGAATTTTGCTGGAAAAAAATTACCAAAAAAAAATTTTTTTTGTCAGCAAATTTAGTTTTTGTCATTTGAATACTAAGAGAGATTCTAAATAAAATAAAATATTATACAAAAAAAAAAACAATAAAAACAAACATTTACAGGGCATTTAAGGCATTAATATATTTTTTTTTTTTCTATCCCCAAACTATGCATATGTAGGAACGATACGGTAGCATGCGAAATTGTAACGGTTGTAAGATTTTTTAGCTTGCAAGTACAGCAGACTTTCAACCATTGGATGCGCAACACGTATTGAAGTGTGAAAATAAACATTTAAATAAAATTGCAAGTGTTTTTATATTTTTTTATTAAAACCCACATATGTATATAAAATATTTTTTATTATTTGTTACAAAGTTTTTTTTTATTGATTTGATTCCAGTTTTGTATTTTTGTAACTATTTTCTATTTATTTATTATTATTATAATTTTACTTTATTTTACTATGTCTATATATTACATATACGAATTTTTAATTTTCTTGTAAATTTTGTTTTATTTAAATTTTTTTATTTCTTTATCTATATATTAAAAAAAGTAATTTTAATTATATACTGCAGCACGAGCTTTAAATTAATTTGCCATAAATGATTATCCTTTTATAATTTTTATTTTATTTATTATTTATATAATATATATATATATATATTATTTATTATTCTTTTATATATATTTTTTTTTATTTAGTATTTTTTTATACATCTTTTTTATTTTTAATGTTTTATTTGCTTTTTTTATTGTTTTTTTTGTTCTTTTAATTTTGTTTTATACTAATCATTAACTTTTTAATACTAATCATTCGATTAAAATGTTTCAATACTTCTCCTCCATTCTAATCTGACCTTTATAGGACAAAAAATTGATATTATTGCCTCCCACTGTTGCAAGGGGCAGCAAACAATTTGATAAGCACTGCCCAAAAGAGAATCAAATAAGTTTTCTAAAATGTTAGCATTAGATTAGTGCTAAATTTTTTTTTCGATATTCATACATATACATACATATGTATAAAAAATTTATTAAGCTGCCAAAAATATATTCACACGTGGCAACTGTGCGCTGGCGCATGGGCATACAATAACTATGATAATAAACCTAATAAATTGTTGCATTACATTTCAAATTGAAGCGATAAGCCTGAAGTACGTGTGTATACAAGAAACATTGAACTAAATTGGTGCCTTAGAGTTTATTTTTTTAGCGGCTATATTATCACATCAGTCCACTTAAACACCTTGCGCACTTGTGTGTGTGAGCAGCGCCGCCATAATCAAAAATAGTTGATCGTCTCATTTATTTCAAAATTATTTGCTTTTAAGCAAAGATACTAATGAAAAGGCAATATTTTTGGTATTTTTCCTTCAATGCTACCTAACTTCATATTATACATACATACATACATAGTAGTTTGCAAAACTCTATGTCAAGGTCAAAACACGTTCGATTGCAATGCTCCAATTCATGCTGACTCTGCAGCATTCATAATTTATACATATAACTATACATATGTAACTTTTGAATATATGTACATATATGTATGTATGTATGCAAGTGCGTTTTTTTTAACGGCGTGCTCAACACATGGCGCCACAAGTGAGGAACAAGTATGCTGCGACTTACACAGCTAAATTGATAGTGAAAAAATTTCAAAAATCGTCTGAATAAAAAATGATAATCATTCTACATTTATATATACATATGTACATATAGTAAATATATGTAGCTTATATACTCACGATCTACAATGCTTTGAGCGAACAAAGCGGATTGCCCGTTGTTGAGTCATAGCTAAGAACGGCATGGCATGAAGTCAGCCACGTTTGTACACTGTGAAAAATTATGGTTAAATAAGAAACATTTAAAAATAATAATCAAAACATTATAAAAAAAAATAAAATATAAATATGTATAAAGAAACTATTAAAAATAAGATTTAAAACAAATATATATAAATAATATTAATTTATAAAATTATAATAATGATAACAAAAAATAATTATATTAAATATTTATAATAATAAAGAATATAAAAAATTAAAATATATGTACATATAAAGATAAGAGAAATAATATTTAAAACAAATACTTATATATAAATAATTTTAATTTATAAAGTTATAATAATATTAACAAAAAATAATAATATAAAAAATGAATAATGATAAAAAATTTAAATCTATATTTTATTTAGAAATACTTATCACAAAAAAATTTTTGTTTTAATATAAATGTTTTGAAACCACACTTATTTTAATTTTTGTTTTAACAAAATTACTAAGACTTTTGGTCAACTATTTTTTTTTAACAAAGTTGCTAAAATTTTGATTAGACAAATTAAAAACAAAATTTTGGTAGATTTACGCTAATTTTGAACATACTTTTTATCGGCCTATGTTTATATTTTTACTTTCACAATTCTTTTGCCAGTCAAATAAACAAACAAAAAAAGTTATTTTAAAATATGTTTTAATTAAAAAAAATTTACTTTAGTAAAAACTGTGCTAAAATAATATTTGGTTTTTTTTTGCCTTTGATAAAATTATATGGTTAGTTTAGGTTTTTGGGGTTAGGTTCAAAATTCGTCTAATACATACTGTTGTTTACTATTATTTTGCATTGCTATCGATAATTAATACGATGAATTCTAGATATCAGTCGTGCCTTGACTTAAAATTTTTTTTATAAATTTGTTAAATATCTCTACAAAATTTGGCATGGAGTATTATATTATAGTAACGCTATAATCTCCGCACACATTTTTCAAATCGTATAGCTGCCATAGAAACTAAACAATCAAACTCGAGGCCTTGTATGGAAAACTTGTTCATTTGTGAAGCGTATTCTAACTTCGGTACAACCGCAATTAACGTATTTTCTTGTTTTTATTTCTATTACATTTTTTTTTTATAAATTTGCTTCAAAAATACACGAAAAATATTGCCAGTTCGAAATAAAAAATTTTAATTTCTAAAGAAAACGCAAAAAATTATTTCTTTCAGCTATTATTTGTACGAAAGCAGTATTCCAAGTACTTATATGGAAATTTTGTGTTGGAAAAAAATGTGTTGGAAAAAATGTGTTAAAAAATTATATGTAAAATTAAAAAAAAAAATTATTTAAATCTGAATTCGGTAATTAATAAAATATATATTTATATGTATACTATACGTACCAAATTATGAAGAAAACGCACAAGCAATTTAAATTTTTTAAATATTTTTAATATTTATTTTTTTTTTCAATCACCAATCAAACGACTACATAAATTTACGCGTACATCTCTATTTTTTTTTTATCTTATACACATTTGTTATTGTACTTGCCAAATAATATCAGTTCTATTTCAAACCTCCCTTGAAATTTACTTGCCTTCTATTTTTTGTAATTTCGCTTTGATTTTAGAGTTTTTAGGTTATGGCAAAGTTTGATTTAGCATAAACTTCGGGCATAAACCCTTAATACTTAAAAATAAATTAAATTGGTGAAAATCCAAGTAATGTCGAGAATGCTTAAATTAAATGAAAATATTAAACATACATATGTTTCGATGTGTTTATATTACTTATACATATATTCATTGTTTTATTTTCTTTGGCAAAGAAGAACTTGATTGGAGAAAACAATAGTGACTATACTTAAATATAAAATTGTAAAATATCTGTTTATATTCGCTTTTAAATACTCCGCAAGATAATTATATTTTTGCATTGTTATACACGCTTACAAGTGCATACATACCAACATGTATAGTTTTTATAAGCATTTGTTCTTCAACAAATGAGTTGGGTTACCTCAATCTTGCTTGGATTTTGATTACGTCATATGTTTGTTTTTATATAACTATAATATTAGTTTCGCCGTCCCTGGTTCCATTTTTTATATGTTTTTCCTGCTGGATCCATAAAAATTATGCCATAACTTGTTGCATTTGCTTCCGTTCTCACTTTTTTCATTTTTGTTTAATAATATTATATACCCTATAGGACAGTTTTTTTTACCGTTTGACGTACTTGCATTAACAAACCGAATTTTGCCAACAATACTTTTAATTTTTCCATTTCGTTATATCGATTCCCATCTACATTTTAAACAATTGTCAGTAGAAAAGTACCGAATGCAAAACAGTTTTATTGCGCCGAGACTCGAATTCTTGCAGCAGTTCGTCAATATCGTTATCCAGATCGGTTGATTTCGCCATCTAAAGTTTAGATAATAGATAAAATTTAAATTATTTTATGTTGAGGGGGTAATTGAGGAGAGTTATCGTTTATGAGTTCGGGAATTTATGCATATTTTTGATGCTAATTATCAGAAAATATTAAAAAGTTCTTTTCTAATATTTGTATATAACGTTTTTCAAGTTTAAGACACTTATCATGTCATAGAAAAGCACATGTATGATATAAATAACGCTTTATCATCTATTTTAAAGTCATTACGCAATGAAATTATTAAATTTTGCATAATACATTTCGAATAAATATGTAAAATATTGGCTTACTTTATGAAAACTAGTTCTTTTATCTAAAGACAAAAATAAAAAAGGCAATGCTCAACTTTCCCCTCTTACGAAATCGCTAGATCAAACGCATTCCAAAAATTAGTCAAAATTTATCACTTAATTATCAGCACATTATGTTTCGATTTTACAGCCTTCCAAAGATAAAACATTATTTTGCTACTTACAGAGTTTTCAGATAGCCCAGCTATAAAATAGAATTACAAAATAATATCAAGCGTTCATTTTCATTGAGTGTACCGTATATTTATGCAAGCAATAAATTAACTTTGTTATTGTGTTTTTTGTGTGAACAACGTACACCAAAAGCTTTGAAATCACTTCCCGCAACTCATACGCTTCAATCACAATTTTAAATTCAATATTAAAACAGGTAGACGTTTGTTGTTGGTCTGCATTATTACCATATTTATCATGTCCGTGATTAGAAAAGCGCCCATTAAAGCCTCCTCGTGATTGTCCTCAATATCCACATTGAATACATGTACAGGTCGGTTGTCGATGGGATCACAAGATTCCATATGTTCTAGCACCTGGTCGTAGACGCGCTCTTCCACGGTCACAATAATATCGAATTGTTCTTTGCATTCCTGAAAGCGTTCTGGACACTTTTTAATTCTGCGATTACGGTCAAGCATATGCAGTAACCCGTTTTGTGTATAGCTATAATAGAAATTACCAGACAATTAGATAAGTTAGCCAAAAATGTGTGCATATATACTATATGCAATGTGTGCAAGTAATTAAATTTTTCGCTTTCCTCCACACTCACTATTGTTTATCTTTAGTAAGCAGATCCTGGTAGATTGTGTCGTACGGCGTGCCAAATTCATATACATTTGGTTTATCGATGGCTGTGCCTGGGAGTTTTACACGTTCACCAGTGCCAAAGGAACGCACGTTGAAGCCCTTCTTTGCTAGGAAATGATGTGCCTCCATTGAACGATTCATGTTTGAGGAACATACCACAGCCACAGATAGATTTGAATTATTCGACATTTTTGTAATGTTTATTAATTTTTTTTTTTAAACTACAGCAACTAACACATCAATTTGATAAAATAGAACCAATGAAAATTAAAGTGCGAATGACAGAATCACCGCCGATGTTGACAAGCAGCTGTGTTGTGTAGCGCTGATATTAAAAATAGCGCCGTTGAATTCAAAAAAATCGTGGTGAAGTTGTTTTACGCACACTTAATATTTACATATTCGTAAGTACAATATTTGTGTTAATTATAAAGATTGTGCAGCTTAGTTTAAAATTGGTTTGGAAAATGTATTTAATTCATATCAAACAACTTTCGCATATAAAAGCAGTTCCCAACACTGCTAGACGCCATATTGACAGCGAAAATGCAAACGGAGAGAACATGAATGAGCACACAAATGCCACAGAAAAGAGAAAATGCAAAATTAAATTAGTGCGCTCAGACATTCCTTTTGGTTTATTTAAATTTTTTCATTGTAATTCATATTATTTAAATATAAATTATGTTTATTCGTGTTAAGAAATGAAGTTACTTCGTGTTGAATATAAGGTGCAAGTGTAAAGTGTTTAAAAAAGTGTAAAAATTTATGTATGAAAGTAAACGCAAGCCATAAAATATTTCGAAGGGAGGAAGCCAAGCACCAACGGCCAGTTACAACGGGTGTGGAGCTTAGCTGAGCAACAACAAAGAGAATTACTGCTTTTTTAGTTATAAGCGGGCTGTGTGCACATTGGGCGGAGGTAAATAATAAAGTCAACAAACTGCGACGGGAAATTCACAACGTTCGTTAGGAATTTCACAAATTTTCACCTTTTATTGTAGCACGTAGCGGCAGTTAATACAGCGCAAGTACACATATTGCGACAAAATGTTCTCAAAGAAAAAGAAGAAACCACTGATTTCTATGCCAAGCAATTTTGAGCATCGCGTGCACACGGGATTTGACAAACGTGAGGGACGTTATGTTGGTTTACCGCTACAATGGGCTTCCATTGTTGGCAACAATCAAATACTAAAGTCAACAAATAGGCCACTACCTTTAGTGGATCCCTCTGAAATAACACCAACGGAAATTCTTGATCTTAAGACAATTGTGCGACCACATCATAATAACAACAAAGCGGATACGACCTCATTAAATAGCAGCATTGCACCGAATGCTAGTGGAACGTTAGGAAATCACCAAACGGCGCATGCGCATTACTTCACCGAGCATAACAATGCGGCAAATGCTGCAGGTTCGGCAACAGGTGGCATTAGCCACAACACAGGTGGTATTGTGCTGCCGAAAACGTCACATGTAGCCCGCTCTAATTCTTTGCGCAGCTCCAGTCCGCCGCGTGTACGACGGGATTTGCGTGGCAACGCTAATGTACCGCCGGCAGTGCCCGAAGAAAGTGTAACAACTACAACACCCACGCCCGTGCCTGGCCAAATAATAGCTTATGGTGGCTACAAACCGCCAATTAATGGACCTGCGGCAAATGTATCAACAGGTGGCACTGCAGGCTATGGTATGTACTCACAACATAACACGCAGAATGGGGGTGGTCATGGACCACTCGCGGTACGCACCGATTTTATATCGAGTCAACAACAACAACATCCTACACAGCCACAAGCATCGCTCCCCAACACGACGACGATGTCTTCCTTACATTACCGCACGGCGCCACCGCCTCACCACCTTGCAGGAGGTGGGCAGCCACAACAGACTTCTCCAGTAGGTTCAGTAGCTAGCGGGACACGTTCGACGCACTCACACGCTTCATCGGCGCACACACATCCACATAACAACAACAATGGTGGTAGTGGCTTTGCGCCATATCAACCTGGCGCCATACAATCCGCACAACATGCTGCGAAACATTTAGGCGCCGGTGGAGACCAAAATCAAAATCCACACCATACACATCCGCACTTGCACACGAAGACAGCGTCGCGCGCATCCAGTTCAAGTGGTGGTGCCAGCGGCGTGGGTAGTGCTGTCGGCGGGGCCAGTGGCCTAGGCGTAGCGCCGCCACCTAAACAGGAACAGAGGCTGACACATGAACAGGTGAGTGCGAAAAAAGAAAAAAAACCTGAAAAATATTAATAATAATAAAATATGTCTTCCAGTTCCGTGCCGCTTTGCAAATGGTAGTTTCAGCTGGCGATCCTCGTGAAAACCTAGACAACTTCATGAAAATAGGTGAAGGCTCTACAGGCACAGTGTGCATAGCTACTGACAAGTCAACAGGTGAGTTATTGTCCAGTACCCAAAAAAAAACATGATTTTATTTACCTATATTGCTTAATCATCATGGTCATTATCACGTAGGTCGTCAAGTGGCTGTTAAAAAAATGGATCTGCGTAAACAACAACGACGGGAACTGCTGTTCAACGAAGTGGTCATTATGCGCGACTACCACCACCCGAACATTGTGGAGACCTACTCCAGTTTCTTGGTAAACGATGAGCTCTGGGTCGTCATGGAGTATTTAGAGGGCGGGGCGCTCACCGACATTGTCACACATTCACGCATGGACGAAGAGCAAATCGCTACAGTGTGCAAGCAATGTCTGAAAGCATTGGCCTATTTGCATTCGCAGGTATGTACGCGGTACGCTCGTTAACAGCGATACGTGTTTGGAATGATGGATGAGTCAGAGCAAGCATAGAATGAGAACAATTTGTTTAAATTTATTACCTTTTTTGTTTGCTTACACTTTCGCTTATCTTTCACTTAAGTGGGGCGGTTTCGACACACACGGTGCTAAAAGCAATTAATGTTCAAATTTTCACTTTTTTTATTATGCTCATAATTTAGTCATTCATTGTTTGTAAACATAGTTAAATTATTATGCTTAGGTTAGTTTTTATATTATGTTTTTTTGTTTTATTTTTTTATTTTAATTTTTTTTTAATCATTTATTTATTTTATTCATATATTTTTTTTTTTTTTATTTTTTTTTTATATTTTTTTTTTATATATTTATTTTTTTTTGTTTTTTTTTTTTTTTTTTATTATTTATATTTTTCATTTTTGTATTTATTTATTTATTTTTTAATTTTTTTTGGTTTATTCATTTTTTTTTATATATTTTTTGGATTATTTATTGTTTATTTGTTATTTATTTTATTTTAATTTTTTTGTTTATATTTTTTTTATTTGCCTGGTTATTATTTTTTTTTGTTTTCTATAGTTTTTTTTATATATAATTTTTTTTAATAGTTTTTTTTAATATATTATTTTTTTTTTAATAGTTTTTTTTATATATTAATATTTTTTTTATATCGTTTTTTATTTATTATATATTTTTTTTTATAGTTTTTTTTATTTTTATTTTTTTTATATATTATTTATTTGTATTTTTTTATTTTTGTTAGCATATTTTTCTTTTATTCGTAATGGTTATTTTTTTTTCCAAAATTCATAATTTTATTTTTTGATTGAATTAAAATTTTTTAAATTAAATATTGTTTTCTCTACAGGGCGTTATTCATCGCGACATCAAATCCGATTCCATTCTACTAGCTGCCGACGGTCGAGTCAAACTCTCCGATTTCGGCTTTTGTGCGCAAGTCTCGCAGGAGCTACCGAAACGCAAATCCCTGGTTGGCACACCGTATTGGATGTCACCCGAGGTAATATCGCGTTTGCCATACGGTCCCGAAGTCGATATCTGGTCACTCGGCATTATGGTCATCGAGATGGTGGACGGCGAACCGCCCTTCTTCAACGAACCGCCGCTGCAAGCGATGCGACGCATACGTGATATGCAGCCGCCGAATTTGAAGAATGCTCACAAAGTTTCACCACGTCTCCAGTCGTTCTTGGATCGTATGCTGGTACGTGATCCGGCGCAGCGTGCCACTGCCGCGGAATTGTTGGCGCACCCATTTTTACGACAAGCGGGGCCACCATCACTCTTGGTGCCCTTAATGCGCAACACGCGGCAGCATTGAAGGGAAAGCGGTTGGGCGTCTACAAATGCAAATCGAATATATATGCAAGTAACACTTAATTTAGTTAGCGCTACATCATTATCATTAACTACACAAAGCAAAAACAAACTCATACACACACACACATGCATAGCCATACATACTTACATTGCTTCATGTACACGCGCTAACGTTTCGGCAACTACTTAATACGCGAACGAATTTAAGTATTACTCAAGCAGCATTTGAAAATTATTTAACTACTTCATTGTATGTACCGTTAGAGGCGAATATTTAACTTCTAACCTTTGTTTATGCTTTTAAGTTTTGTTTTAAAATGGTTTAGTTTGTAAATTTAAATGTTTTTTTTTTGTTAAACATTATTGGCTTAACTTCCTTTCCGACACACATAGACACATACACACACACACACAAACGTTTTCTTACATTTATGCATGCGCATTCGTATTGTTGTTGTGTCTTTAATACAGTCAATTGTTTGTTAATAGATCCTAAAACAAAAACAAAACAAAAAAAAATATCGCTAATCCATCAAAGATACAGTTTTATTGTATCCACTAATTACATAAGTCCTTAAACCGTACACAAATGGCAGTTAAAACACTTACACGAATCGAATATTATTACTTACGTATTGCTTTCATATAAAAAATTATGTAATTTAAAAAATATATACATATTGGCATTAAAAATTGCAACGAAAGTTAACAAAATGGGATTAAAACGAAAAAATTAAAAAAAAAAAATAACTTCCAAAACTACAAAAAAGTTTTATTAAACAACAAAAATTCTGAAAGCTTTACTGCGATGAATAACAAGCAAACGTGAAATTTAAATAACTCAAAAAGAAAAAGATGACACACTTTCGAAAATAACGCGATAAAGAGAAAAGAGTATAATGGAGCAAAATTCAAAAAAAAAAAAAAACAACATATTAACAATCAGGGGTGTTGTAGAATCTGATAGTTGTCGGTATCAGAAATGAAACCGATATAAAACCAAGTAGTAAGTGTCATGAATTCAGAAATTGTATCAGTTTTGGGTGTCACGGTGACTCTCATTAAAGGTGGTGTTCTGGCTCTACGAAACCGCAGCCAAGCCAATATTCTTCTATGGTGTGTTTGTCTGATGGAGGGTGCTCGAAATGGCTACACTTGCTAAAAACCTTGAGTCTTAGATTCTACAACACCCCAAATTCTTAATATTGGCTTATAAAAACTCTTTTTTGTTCAAATCTTATAAATTTTTTTTTTCAAATTTTATAAATTTTTTTTTTCAAATTTTATAAATTTTTTTTTCAAATGTAATCTTATAAATATTTTTTTTTTTCAAATCTTATAAATATTTTTTTTTTCAAATCTTATAAAAATTTTTTTTTTTAAATCTTATAAATATTTTTTTTTAAATCTTTTAAATATTATTGGTTTTTTTTTCAAAATTCTTATATTTTGCTTGAATTTTTTGTTTTTTTACTAAATTAAAAATGCTTTAAAACATGCTAATGTGCGCTTCCCCAAAATTATGTTTTTTTTAGAACATTTTAAATATTTTTTTTATTTGCTTTTCACATGCATTACAAACAAAAAAAAAAAACAAAAAATAATGTCTTAAAAATAATCTATACGTGAAAAAATCATCATAATCAGAAATGTATACGACATATTTTTCAAATAACAACCGTGTTATAAATTGTTTTGGAAACATAAATTTTGAATATTTTTTGATAATCTGCTAAAGTTTTGATTTGAAATAAGAAAAAGCAAAGACTGTTTTCAAATTCGGGTTTTCCCTTTTTTTGTTTTTCCTTTTTTTGTTTTTTCTTTTTTTTTGTTTTTTTTTTGTTTTTGTAAAAATAATATATTACGACATATTATACTTTGGAAAATAACAACCGTGTTATAAAATGTTTTAGAAACATAAATTTTCAATATATTTTTTTTTTTGATAATCAGCTAAAGTTTTGATTTACAACATGCAATAACAGACAATTTTCAAATTCTGTTTTTCTTTTTTTTTTTTCTTCAAAAATCATGCATTATTCAAAAACCCAGTTGTTTTCGAATATAGGGTATGAGTAATATGAATTTGAAAACTTATTTTTTTTTGCTGCTGCTTATTTAAATTATTAATTTTATACAATAGTGTCGCTAAAAATGAATTGAATATAATTTATTTCAGTTTTAAAGCTACTACTAGAACGCAAGCCTTAGACAACCGTGACCTTAGAAACGAAGTCAAACAACAATTATTCAATGATTAATAATATATTTTAATACATAAAGAAAAACACACAAAAATCATGCACCAAAAATTACAAAAAAAAAAAATTATACCTTACACTGTGGATACATTTTTGACAAAAAAAACCTATAACATTTTTCCTCCAAAAAAATTGCATGCGCGCTTCATTTTTATTTTTTTTTTATTGTAATTTGTTAAGAAATCATTATATGAATGTGCGGCACTCGAAATTTGTGTATTCTATAAGAATGCAGACACGCCTTTAAATGTCGGAAGCGCATTTTGTATATCAATTATTGCTTATATATATAATATATATATTTAACAGTATACATAAATAACTAATATGATATAAAAATATAAATATAAATACATAAGACATACAAGCCAGTATGCGTATAATATATACATACAAACATCGAATAAATATGACGTAGGTTTTAGTTTCTGTTAGCGAAAACATTGTGTAGATGTTACTTTTTTATTTTTGTTGTAAAGCAACATTAAATGCATAAGTTAATGATTTTACAGTAATAATTTTTTAAAATAATGCAAAGTAGTGCGTCAATGCATGCACATTTTCTATATTCGAAAATTCGAAGTTACAAAAAATTTCTACTTTTGTGTATATTAATATACGCGACAACTTAAACAGCCTTATTAGATAAAAATTTACACACCTTCGGCATGAGTTTTAAGTATTGGATTAAATTAAATGCTGCTTGCAATTAATTAATATTTTATTTCATAAAGTAACCATGAATAGTAATTGCATATTATTACTAGCTGCACGTTCGCGTTTCGAAAATGTAAAGTTTAAAAATGCGCTACTTTAAAACTCATGCATAAAAAATTACAAACAGCAAACATACAGAGACGTGTTAAAAACGAAAAAGAAAGTTAAATGAAACTTATAAAATACGCTTTATTTTGAATATTTATAATTTTTTTTAGGCATATTTTTAAATTTTAATTTCAACTCATAAGCACCTCGAACTAACCGTCATTTTGATATGTTCGAAAATTCGAAGTTTAAAAATTGTAATATTTTCAAAATATTTAAAAAATTAGATTCAAATATTTAAAATTAGGTGACAGAAGCAAACGTAAAAGCAGCACAGCTTTGGTGTTTGACGAAAATTTTGAAAAAATGCTCAATTGCCAAAGTTATTATTTTCCAGCTCTGCTTTAATGTTAAAATTTATGCAAGAACATTTTCATATTCGACAATTTGCATGCGATAATTTTCCACACACGTTTTTGAAAATGCTAACAAACAGTATGTTCGAAAATTCGAAATTGTGCCATATAAGCGTAGTTGTTTTTTTATTATAACGAATGGTTGAAAGTGTACCCCAGATAACATCCCACTCTCATTTGGGGTTATTTGGGAAAAGCGTCCCACTCATTGACTGCCGAACTATTGTATATATAGAGGCAACGGTCGATCTGCAGAAACAGCGAGAACCAGTAACGTTGCCCCTTTTAAAACCGCTAAATGCAGAACTCTTATTTCGTGCTTATCTCAGCTATTTAACTCATCACCTAGCCAAATAGAGGCATTTTCTATAACTGGTAGGAAAGCTGAAGCTTCATTTGAAGAATGCGTCAACGTGTGAGACTTATTCGAAGGCGCTGAAACCTTTGGACGTTAGTAAGTCACAATCCCAGGTATCGCGTGGTATTAGGGTTCTTCATTCTTCCATTGGCTTGCTGACAGCATACAGACCCATTAGTTAACATTCAGTGCTATGAAGACCATTGTTTGGCTGTAAATTTATCCAAGACGTTCCAGTTGGTATCCGCGATGTCATATGGTTCGTTTTAGTTTATTAGAAACTGACCAATCACTGCGATGCCGCAGTTTGAAATAACCTTCACTCGGTAATGCGTACTTCAAATGAAGCTGTTTCTCTCTTTCCAGTTAGTTGATATAAGGAAGTGTAGTGGCGGTAAGGAGAACTGAGTGTTAGTCACTCTAGAAGTTGATAGATGATGAGTTGAATTGATTTAGCCATGCCCGTCTGTCCGTCCGTCGGTATATACGCGAACTAGTTTCTCAGTTTTCGAGATATTGATCTTAAATTTAGGATATGACCGATATTGGACCACTATAGCATATAGCTGTTATACAAACTAAATAATCGAAATCAAGTTCTTGTATGGAAAACTTTTTCATTTGACGAGATATCTTCACGAAATTTGGAACGGATCATTAACGAAGATAATAACGGAATCTCCGAAGAAATTGTTCGGATCGGATCAGTATAACATATAGCTGCCATACAAATTGAACGATCGTAGTAAAATGGTTGCATGGAAAACATTTTTATTTGACGAAGCATCTTCACGAAATTAGATCGGAATCAAGTTCTTCTAAGGAATCTTTTGTGAGAGCTAATATAGCTTCGTTGTTTTGTTTTTTGTTTTTTTTTTTTTTTGCAAATCGGCTATCTATGTTACGGAAACTATTTTCAGCTAAATTTTGCAACGACGAACCGTTCTACCTTTCGGCCTCGCATTTTGTACTTAATTTCTTGAAATTTTCGTTTAATGGCCATCATTCATCTGGCACCTTTTAAAGTCTGTTGCAGCTTTTGCAAGCAGCCTCTCATGCGATTATCCTCGCCGGCGCCGCGCTTCTGCTCCACAACACGCAGCTCGGCGAGCAGAAAGTCCATGATTTGCAGAATCGTAGCCGGTGTGAATTGCGCCAAGCGCTGCAACAGCTCGAAGAAGAAGAACGTGTAATAGGCGAGATGCTTCTTGGTAAGTAGCCGCAAGTGTTCGGCAAGTAGTTGTTGCAAATCGACAGCGCGCTTATATGTCGCGCTGCTGACAATACGCTTAAACAAATCCAGTAAGAGCGCGCGACTGGGCACCACTTCGTCCACCATCATAATGTGTTCCAGCATGAGCAGCGATGTGGCTTTCATGAAGGTCTCCAAACGCTTCGCTAATATGTCGTCGCTGGCGTTATTGGCGTCTATTGATTCGATCACTTCTTGGAAAATAGTCACCACCAAGCAGGCATACGGATCGGCTTGGCGACGCTGTGTGGCCAAGAACAGGCTAGTGAGCTTATCGAAGACAAACAAAGACAATTCAGCATTGTCGCTTTGCAGACAGCTGATAAAGGGGCGTGCGACCAATTTGGCGTTTGGTGAAATTTTGAAATGTGGCGTCCACTTCTGTATGAGATCGGTGAGCGTTTTGCTGATATACGGATCGGCTTTGAAATTGAGTCTGCCAATACCCTGCACGAGCACCGGCCAAATTTTGTGCACCACTTGCGCCAATTTGCCGTCCGGCGCTTTGCCCATCTGCACATTGGTCGGTAGCACGAAGCGCGTCATGACCACGTGGAAGAAACAGTTCACCTTAGATTTGGTGTAGACAATGTGCGCACAATTGTATATAACTATAGCCAGGAAACTGTAGAAGCGAAAGGCTACTTCGGTCTTCTCCAGCTTTAGGTCAGCCTGCAGCCATTTGTCGAAATTACGCAAATACGCATTCAAATTGTCAGCAATGCGAAAACGCTGCTGATGATGCGCCGCGCATGCGTCGTAATGTTTACCAACAGCGGCTATGAAAACGCAGAGCGGTTCTTTTGCCTGCAGCAGCTCGTCGGGGCTCAAATTGTCGGTCATCATGCGAAATTCAGCTAACTGCGACACATAACGCGTCAATTGCGACACATCCTCGTTGACAGCGTTCAACTGCACTAAACTCTTCAGCCACACATGTATCACCACGTTCGGCTCAATCAACGCGGCCCGCTCGGTTTGCAGCACTTTATTTAGGTATTGCGGCAGCGCCTGCCGACATACAACCGGCGCATCAATGAAGCAATTGAATAGTTTCTGAAACGTATGTGTGTCCGGCACGGTGCAGGCGTGCGTTGAAAAATCTGCGGCGAGTTGCGGCAGCCATTGACTGTAACCGCTGGCGAATTGTTGCTTGACAAAAGGTAGCACGTGCGCATTGAGCGCTTTGAAGAGCTCCGAGTTCGACTCAATCAGCGCTTCGTTGCGCTGTAATTTACCGAATATCAGATGTAGCGCCTCCAAACTGCGTTCCTGTTCTACGGGCGTGCAGGTCTGCAGATAATTAGGCAGCCACGCGTCTATTAGCAAGTGTTCGCCGCGCCTAAAATCGTCGGCGTGCATGAAAATTTCCAACAAACCGTCCGCCAACACTTTCGAAACGCTCAAATCGTTATTGATGGCAGTGAGCTGCTGCAGCAGCTTCGTCACATACTCGCCGATTTCACAGCGCCGTTCGGCGTAGAGTATCAATAGCGCCATATGACCTTTGGTAACGGCAATTTGGCGTCCAGCTGGTATTTTATCCAAAGCAATTGACAGCAATTTTGCGCTCAGCTTCGTTGCAAGCTCTTCGAAATCGCCGCAAATCGCTAGCGCCAAAAATAATTCTATAAGATGATGTATGCCCATCTCATTTAGTGCGAGAAACTTTTGCGCACTAAATTTAGTATAAATACGACCGAGCAATTTTGGCGCTTGATGACGCGTCGCTGCGCTTTCTAATAGGCGCATTAGATTTTTTCCCAACAACAAGGTAAACAGCGTGTAACTACTCAAATTGGCATCAGCTGTTAGTTCTTCTTGTTTAAGTAGCGCGCGATAACGTTCCACATATGCCTTGCCGCTGACACAAGCGACCGCCAAATTGCTTGGTGCTGAACCGGCGGCATAGAAGGAGGTATTCAGTCGCTTGTGAAAATGCTCCCACAGTAAAACTGGTATGGCGACGCGTGGACGCCACCAATGCAACAGCGTAGGCATAAGCAGGCAAATATATACGCGCGTCTGTTCTTCGCTGGGATTACCGTTGAGAAACTGTTGTGTGCACTGCTCCAGCGCATCCAAATTCTCCGCCGTATCAGCCAAAGCGCGCTCATGCCTTGGCCCGACATAGTGTCCATTGGAACTATAGCCTAAAAGTCGCACTAGCGCATGTAGCAGCCAATTTGTGAATTCAGCTAATGATAAGTTTGTTAAAGAAAACTTATCTAGCGTAAAAAATAAGATTTAGAAACATTGTAACTAATAGTTGAATAATCAAAGTAAAAAAAAAGTAAAAGTTTTTACTCACCCAAATTAGTTTTTAATTTCGCTATTGTTTCATTAAATAGTTGCCAGAAGGTGAGTTGCTCACCGGCTACAGCAAGCGCAGTCAATGTCCACTTTTGTAAAGCGAGTTGCACATACAACCAACATTCCTTAATGCATGTACATGGAAATGGCGAAGCATATAGCAGCTCAGCCGGTCGCTTTTTACCATACAAATACAATGAGCAAGTCACTAAATCCTCGAAGAATAGTGTCAATTGGCTTATAAAGGCGCTGCTAGACTTTGCATTGCCATCCAATAATACTGTAGGTGCGCATAATTCGAATTTGTAAAGTATACACAAATCTAATAGCTTCCATTCGAGCACACCGTGCAATAAGTGATAGGCGGCAGCATTGCAATCATTACCTTTACAACTATTGGCAAAATAGATTAACTTCCAGGTATCGGCTTCAGTTGTGCGATTAACTAAACGACGCATACTTTCCAAGCTAGGCCGCAATAAAGACCACTGTTCGTCGGTTGTGTGGTGGAGTATCCAATAAAACATATGTGTTACTTCTTTTCTCCGTTGCCGGTAGTTATATGTGTCATTTGTGTTGAGTGGTTGTCGTACACTGGCCCATAGATGTTGAATCTGCATACTGAAAAGCAAAAATGTTATATTTATAGTAGACTTCTTTACAAATGTGTGCATACCAAGATGTGCCGATGAGATATTGCACATTATTGTGTCCATGCAGCTGCTTCACGCCAAATTCAAATTCTGTAAGTTTTAACGATTCGCTGGCATTATGCCAGGCATATTCAGGGCGCGTCAGCATAAATCCACTTCTTACAAATCCTTCACTAGCGAACTGAGCATGAGTAGTATCCTCACCGCTGCATTGCAGTTCAGGCAAGATAGCGTCTTCATCTACCCCATCACATGCTTGGGTTTGCTGTGGTGCCGTTAAATGGTCTTGTGTTGCTTCTATACAAGCGGTACTTAATAAATCATCATCTTCATCGAAATTAAATAGTTCAAAATCCATTAGTTTAATTTAAACAATAAAAAGTATTTATATATAATTAAAACATTAAAGCACACAAACAAAAACCATGGATAACTAAAACGTAAATAAATAACAGATCAGCAAAATTTGGCGCTCGAATGAGATGTCAACCAATTGGGTATGTTCAAAAATGTATATTATACAATTTATTTTAGAAATATTAAATTAAATCGCTTAAGTTAACCTATTTAACTTATAACGCGTAACAATCAAACATATATATATGACAATTGCTTATATGAATAATGTGTAAATAAATAAATTTTATGCAGTTTTTAATTATACTACAAACATAAATGGATTCCATATTTCCACGCTTTATATACAATATTAATATGGCAACACTGATTTATGAATTTGTGAATCTTTTTGTCGCCATTGCTACGTTCTACAACGATTTGCGGATAAAATAAAGTTTTATTTATTTTAAGGTCTTCAATTATTTGCAAAATGTCCAAAGCACATCCCCCAGAGTTAAAAAAGTAAGTGCTTATAAAAATTAAAGTTTGTTTTTATTTAAACAGTCGTTTTCTTATTTTTCATTTACTGAATATTTGACACTGAAGATATATGGACAAACGAATGTTGCTAAAATTAAATGGAGGCCGGTCCGTTGCTGGAATTTTACGTGGTTTCGATCCCTTTATGAATGTAGTGCTCGACGAAACCGTGGAAGAGTGCAAGGATAGTACGCGAAATAACATTGGCATGGTGGTAAGTTATTGAAAAACGTATTACGCACAATTTTCTAAAAGCTATTCTCTCATCTAGGTAATTAGAGGCAACAGCATTGTCATGGTAGAAGCGTTGGATCGAGTATAGGTCCTTGATAGAAGCTTAGCCACTCCCCACTTTAATATAGATTTATTACAAATAAAAGTGAAATTAAATACCTGAAAAATCATTGACTTTTGGATATTTGGAAAATACTAACAGAAACAAACCACAGTCCATAGCGGATTTTACGTACATAATTTGTTAGAAAGGCCTAAGAGGAGAGGAAACAAAATTGCATATTTATCAAATAAATAAATAAAAGGCGCTTTCTTATTGCTGTAACGTAAGACAGCCAGAACTCCGTCATTTACAAAAGCAAGGAAGAAAAGTTGGTCCTCGAAATTCATCAATTTGTATTATGGATATCAATATTAGAGTTCATCTATATGGGCATCAGCAATATTCATAGGATGTTCAACTAATCACCTTTCCGCTCAATAAAATAATTTGAGCAGTTTCGCACTAATGGATGAATTATAAAATGTAATTGTTTGTAATTTTTTTTGTTTTTATTCACGTAAACAAAGGTTTTCTCTAAATTAAAGCGGTATGACAGCTTTGCGCAAACCACATAGTTTTTTTCCCTCTATTTTGCGTATTTTTCTTACTAAATTACTTGGAAATGACAATAGGTCCCGACTGCTTCGCCGCATCACGTTGTTTGCTCACGATTTGGTTTGCAATACGATCCAAGTCACGCTGACCAATGGGTGTCAATCTACGACCACCATCGGGGTGCTTCTCGATAAGGCGGGCATGCTCCAAAGATTGCAAAGCCTTGCGTGCAGCACCATCAGCGGCGCGACAGAAGTGTGATGGGTGCACACCGTTACGTTTACGGCCACCGTAGATTTTTGTAATGGAACCAACACCAGCTGGACTGCGATGGTACAAATGACGCAAGATCGATGCACAACGAATATAGAACCAGTCAGGGTCAGATGGAGCCAATTCCTTGAATTTAGCGGTCTTAATGATGTCCATTTGATCGGGCACCTTCAATTTGCCAGTCCTATCGGTAGGAACAAAACAAAACATTTGAGGTTAGTAAATATTTCTAGTTTAAAAAGAAATTGTATACTTACTTCTTTAAGAAGACAGCTACAGCCTTAACAACGGCATGTTGATCAATATCCTTTACTGTAACGCCGGGCATCTGTTGAAAAGAATAACAAGTTTACAGTTAGTCGATTTGTAATCACGTTGTACATATAATTGCTAACACGACGCCAAACGGCGGCACATTACTCTTTAAAACTTCACATTATATATATATATATAATCACCACAACGACACTAAATTAATGTATACATATAAGTGAAGGCATAGGTAAATTTTTCTTCGAGAAATTGCATTCAAATTTGGAAAAAAAATTGTATAAATTGAATGAATTTGTGAAAAATTGACAGTAACATTACCTTGCGTGACAAAGTGAACCGGAAGAAAGGACATATTGAGTTAAGTTAGCTGCGTTTACCTTTGTGACACCGAATTTTTGACAGTTGCCAAAAGGGCGTTGCCATTTAACGCATACATATGATTGTGAATGGTCACCATCTTTAGATAACTTTAAAATTTAATAAAAAGTTACTATTTGATATAATCATTTATTTTTATGATAATTAATTATGCACTTATTTAAGCATAAGTATATTTTTATAAACATATGTAATTATGATTTACTTGGTGCAATCGTATTTTTTCCACCAGTCAGCAAACATTTTAACTTTGGCGATACTATTTTGTTCCTTTTGCGGTTTTCGCCATTTCTTCGCATCCAACTCCAACATTCCACCAATAATTTCCTAAAAAAAATAAACAAAAAACAATTAACTAATGATGATAATAGTAAATGACTAAACGTAAAAGTGAGTTAATGCTCACCAATGCAAAATTTTGAGGAAATCTATCTTCATCCTCAATGACATGCGCAAACCCTGAGCCCATACCAAAATTAACCCAAAAGTAAGGCAATCCTTTGGGTATACAATTTCGTAAACCTTTACCGTCACGACCCAACGATACCAACTGCTTATTAACGCTCCATTCGAGCTCCGATTCTTCCACAGCTTTTTTGAAGTAAAATGGTGCCATTTCCGCCTGTTCATCCGGTATGGGTACACAGTGTATACTGAGATGCGGTCGTCTTGATAGACGAGTGGCGATTTCAAAGAACACGACATCTTTTTTCTGCGCCGCAAACATTCTCGTAAGCGCCTTGCGAAAATCGTTCATTTCCGACCATGTATCTTCATCCAATTGAGTGCAGCAACTAATATGCTGTGTTGTGCTAATAATACAGTGCCCCGATTGCATGCCTATATGCCATGGCAAAGCAAGATACACCTGTTCACCCATAGATACCATTAGGCTTTTATCCATTTTCGGTGAATCGAAGCAATATCTGCAGTTATCAAGCTGTGCGCTAAGACGTTCGTGCTCTGTAATCGCACGCTGTGTTTCCCTACGATCTGTGGATGATTGTGATACATCCTTACGCACTTCATCCGCAAATATGTCGTCCAAATCATCATTGGGATTCTTATGTTTCCCTGCAATTTTAGCAAACTCCAGATTAGCATCACTGGCACTAGTATATTTCTCACGTTCAAACTGTTTCAAATATATTATATTTTAAATCGTCAATAAATTTTTTTTTAAATTTAATTAGATTTTCTTACCATTTGTTTAATGTCGTATTTGTCATCGTCTGGGAAATATCGCATACGTTCACCATCCTTATGTGTCTCAAGACGCTTTTGCTTTTTGCGAGCATTACGTCCACCATACAATTCACGTTCATCCACAGTTCGTGATGCTTGCGACAACGGACGTGTGTTACCGCGTTCGTCAGTACGTGTGAGCAACACATGCTCATCTTCATTGCGATTTCGCAATTTCTTATTATCCGCTGCGGATTGTGTAAGTTTTTGATCTTTGAAGTCAGCCCGATCTTTTCTTGCTTTTTCTAATTGTAACTTTAACTCTGCGGCTAATTCGTCATTACCCATAATTTCCGCTTTTAATAATTTCGCGCCCAGTTCATTCATTTGTTGGTCAGTTAAAAATTTTGTTGTCGAAGTTGGCTTCTCTAGTTCCTCCTCTTCACCACCACTGCTTTCAGAGCTGTAAATGGACATGTTCGCCGAACCTTTCTTATCGGATAAGAGATCATCTGTTCGTTTCTGCCAGCTTCGGGAGGCACCACTACCACTGGCCCTATTGGCAGTTGATGCGAACGTCTTTGCTAGTCGTTCATCGTCACTATCATTATCATTGTCCACGTTTGGCTTTTTAAAACCCGGTAAGCCAGTGCCCGTAGTTTTCCAATATGGATTTAGTTCACGAGTGCTTCTAGCCGGATCGTACGCTTCATAATTTTGTTTCTCAGTAGATGGATTATCTTTTTTCTCCTTACTGAACGTTTTCAGTAGTAATGGATCTGTCATCCAGCTATCGCGTGCTAATGGAACTGTAGAAGTGGTAGTTTGTGACGGTTTTTCAACCCATTTCTCCAGGTCATCGCTATCGCTATCATCATAGTTTCTCTTTTTGTTGGCCACTTTTATATTTTTTTCATCGACAAGACCTTTTTCAAATTCACTGTGCTTTCGTTTAAGTTCCTTCTTTAGCCTTTTGTTTGCGTCTTCTTCAGACGAACTGCTACTATCAGTGGTTGAAGAGTCCGAATCCGAAGACGATGTTGATGAGCTTTCTTTGCTCTTTTTGTTTTTAGAACTGGATTTTGCTGATTTCTTTTTCTCGCCGTCCGAAGAACTGTCATCACTTGGCATATCCCACGAATCTGAACCTGAGGACGAGTACTCCTTTTTCTTCTTCTTACTTTTCTTCTTTTTAGAAGAACTGCTTGGTTCGCCATCAGACGAACTATCATCACTGTCTATCTCTGAGGTGTCTGGATCGGACTCAGAAGATGAATACTTTTTACTTTTTTTACCGTGCTTTCCTTTTTTCTTGGACTTTTTTGCTTTAGCCTTTTCCTTTTTCTTTTTTGATCTTTTTGATTCGCTAACTTTTTTACCTAGCTTGTCAATTTTTGCGGCTACTGCGGGCAACATCCAATTGTTTTCGCCCCGCAATTCCTGGGCAGCTTCACGTTTAAGCCTTTGTTCACGTCGTAATTTGGCCTTTTGAAAGAAAACATATAAATATCTTCGCACATATTTAGAGTATACGCTGTATGTAAATATTTACCTGATCAAGCATTTGATCTCGCGCCTCCCGAAGCTGTTGGCGTATTCGCTCCTTTTCTCTTGCGCTTTCAAACTTGACAAAGTCCATATTTGAATTATATTATGTATATGATAAACTTATTTTCGTTTTCTTACAGAAACTATAAAAATAAAAGATTTATTAGTTATTGCAGACCGCGCCGTACAATTACCATTTATGAGATGTCACAAACTTGCCGAACATCAGCTGTTCGACATCCATTCACAATTGTTATAGTATTATTAGAGAATGTAAAATCTACATTCTCTGGCATTATCGTAAATATTATAATTGTATATAAGACAAAATAAAATTTATTAAAAGCAAAATATGTATTAAGTAAGGTGTATTTAATAAAATAAGGCACATTTTTAGAAGCGCTTAAGTTAAAAAGATATTACATCTCCATATAATTGTTTTCCAGCAGCCTGAGATGGTTTCACGGTTTCATTGTGAATAGCTATATTATTACTAATAAAGTTTTCTTTGATGACCAACACCTTGCATTGTAATTTGGAAACTATCTTACAGGATTGAAACAAAATGCCGTTGTACGAAACTGTAATGCAGGAGAAGCCACCAGTTGTTTTGGACATTGGAACTGCCTATACAAAGTATGTAATTAAATGCTTAATTGTAAAATATAAGTGACGTCATATTACTTTTCTTGCAGACTGGGCTTTGCTGCAGAAGCTTATCCACGTAAAATTATACCTTCAGAGGTAATACTATCTAGCAATGGAAAAACTAAATCTTTGTTGGATTATGAAAGCAACACTGATTTATATGATCAATTTGTAGACTTTTTGCAAATGATATTCTTCAAGTAAGTAAACTACATACTTATTTCTCCAATTTTTATATAAACACAACTTCAGGCACTTGCTGGTCATACCAAAGGAACGTAAAATCGTCATCGTCGAAAATGTGCTCGGTCAAACAATAATACGCGAAACACTTGCGCGTGTACTTTTCCGACACTTTGAAGTATCCTCTATCATGTTTGTGCCTTTACATATGGCTGCATTAGCAACGCTAGCTGTCCCTACCGGTATTGTTGTTGACATCGGCTATACCGAAACAACTGTGATGCCAATTTACTCACGCGTTCAAATACTGCAAGCATTTCAAGATCAAGCATATGGTGGTCACGCCATACATGCGGAAATAAAGCGACAGCTTTTGGAAACTGGTGTTAACGAGAAGCAGCTCACTGAATCCATATTGGAAGATATAAAAGTGCGTACTTGTTTTGTCACGAATTTTGAGCGTGCAAAGGCATATCGCAAAGGGCAACCACCGGTTGCACCACCTGATCAGGAATATCTCATTAATGGCGAAGAGATTATTGTAATACCGGGCACATTGCGTGAAACCGTTTTTGAAATAATGTTTGAAGAAAATAACGATCGTGATAGTCTACCACATTTAATATTACGTGCTATACTCAGTTGTCCAGTGGATGTACGGCGCGCACTAATCGAAAGTATTTTTGTAGTTGGTGGTAGTGCTATTATTATGGGGCTGCTGTCACGTCTGAGAGCCGAAATGCAGTATTTAGCGGAAAAGGATGAAGAGTATAAGCAGAAATTGTGCGGTGATATAAAATTCAAATTCCATAAAACCATTGGACGTGAGAATTTCACAGCCTGGTTGGGTGGTTCACTTTGTGGCGGCACTGATCTCATCCAAACACACTCGCTTACTAAGGAGGCTTATGTGAAGACTGATCGTGTGCCTGATTGGATCAACTTGTCAGATAAGCGCGCAACGGCATAACAAAGAAAGTTGCGAATAAAGTGAAGTAAATCGCGTACGATTGAAAAAATAATGGATTGGCGTTGGTTAACTTAATACTATAGTTAATAAAATCGTATAATTAAATTTAAGTATTGATCTTACTTTAATTTTATAAGTGGTTAGCTTAAGCCTCATCTCCTTTAATTTATGATTTAATGTCTAGACTAGTTTGTACAAATTCCACATTAAATATAAACAAATTATGTATTTAATAATAAATACTTTCACGCTAACCCACCAAATCGAAATCAATTTAAGTACCTTCTCAGTGTGCCTTTTATAAGTGCTTCTTTCCTTTTCCACACAATTACTTACTGTTTTAAATTTGCACCATTACTCATGAAACGTCAGCCAAGTAATTGTAAGTAATGGACTCATAAACCATGCTCTTGTCGAAACAGAAGCCTTGACTATTTCGGTGTTGGCACTTTTTGAGATTGCGAACGACTTTTCATCTCATTCTCCTCTTCGGCAAGCGCTTGCAAATTTCGCGTTCGTGTCGCCTCATCATCATTCTTATGGTTGGCAAAGTGTAAGCGCAATTCCGTTGCTAAACGAAAAGCACCGGGACATAATTCACATTTATAAACATTTTCACCGAGGTGTGTGCGTAAATGCTTGATTAGATCGTTGCTTTGGGCAAAGGCCCGTTCACAGTATTTACATTTGTAGGGCTTTTCACCCGTGTGCGTGCGCATATGACGACGCTGATGATCCATGCACACAAAACTGTAGTGGTTGAAGAATTTATATTAAAGATATATCTATGCACAAGAGTTTCGCACGCCAAACTCACCGCATCTCACAATATTCGCATTTGTACGGCTTTTCACCATTATGATACATTTTGTGCTTCTTCAACTGATATCCTTTGCCAAATGCATTGCCGCAAATATCACACACATGTGGTTTGATCTGTAGATGTACTGCTTTGTGTGAAGCTAAATCACTGAGACAGGGGAATTTCTTCGGACAGTCGGGGCACTCGTACCGCTTAACGCCGGTGTGTCGTAATAAATGTTGTTTCAAATTGCTGTTTACAAAAAAAGTGTAATTAATTTGTTAATGTTTATATATGTATGCATATAAATTTACCTGGAACTACTAAAAGCTTTTCCACATTCAGAACACAAATACGGCTGCTCTCCTGTATGTGTGCGCATGTGATCCTTCAGTGTGCTCGATTGCTGAAAACCTGTAGACGATCATAAATTGCATTGAACGCTATAAACATACACAGTATAGTAAATTATACTCTTTTGGCACAGTTCGCAAGAGTAGGGCTTAGATGTCACTTCCGAGTTTTCAACACCATGCTGCAATCGTTTGTGCTTTGTTAATGTGCGTCGTGTGCCATATTTCATATCACACAAATCACAATCATAGTTCGGTGCGGGTAATGCGTTTAATGTTTCTGTGTTCTCAATATGTGTCTCTTTATGTTTTTGTAATTTTTCCGCTTTTCTGAAGTGTGTTCCACATATGTCGCATTTTAAACTGAAATTATGCGTTTCCTTATCTCTTGTTGTAGTTGAATTATTTTGTTTATCTGCTTTTTTATGACGTCTGAAATGTCTAAGCAAGTAGCGGCGTGTAGCGAAGGACTTATTACATTGTGTGCAGGTATGCGAAGATGACCTATATAGAAGTATTAAAATGATTCTAATACGCATCAATTCAATAATACATACAGATCTTTGGAAATATTGCATTTAACTGGCGCTTTGTATAAAGCATTTACTGTCAATTTGTCCTCTTCGCTATCAACATCCTCATGGCTTGAGACTTCATCGCTGGTGGTTGCTGTTTCTGCTGCTGCTGCTACTGGCGTCTCATTTTCGACTTTAATTTGTGTTGCAACAAGTTGCTCGGTTAGTTGTGTGGCTTCGCAAACAGTATAACCAGAGGTACATATGTCTTCATCACTTAACTCTCTTTTGAGATACACACTAATATTATTCGACTCATCTTTGTTTATTTTAATTATATCAGCAATGCTCTGTAGTGGATCATCTACATTTGAGGGTGCTATTCCATCATTTGGAGTGTCAATATGATTTGTGTCTAGCACCGGTTCCGGTAGTGTAAACAATTTTGTTTCCGATATAATATCTGTTATAGGTTTCAAATCAGTGTATCGCCTAGCTAGCCACTCTCGCAATTGGTGTTCGGATTGTATGCACATCTGTTGAAAGCGATACACACTCAGCAATTGTTGTAGGCATACACGGCATATGTGCTGTGGCAGCTCCTCGCTTAGGTTTAGTTGTAGTTGTGGCATAGTTCTACCTAGCAAATCTGCAATGCGCATTGTACCACATTCAGCTACGGTGGTAAAGATGGATTGCAATTGTTGTTCTGCATCATCGTTGGTGGAAGCGGAAAAACAGTTCGCCTCAGGCACTTCATACATGCACGTACGACAAAGACATTCGAAATGTAACTTACTTTCTGTGTCCATAGCTGCACATTACAATAATTTGTATATGTTACTGTTTGCACAGGGCCTTGCAAACACTAATTTTAATTTAACACAATTAATTACTACAAATAATGCGATGAAGTGTAAAATGTTATAAAAACAAGAGACGATAACTTAGACCATTCAAAACACAACTAATTTGAGGTAACCCACAGGGTTGTATTTGATAGTCTCGACAGGAAAGTTTTAACAAAATATAATATATGTAAAAAACAAATTTTGAAAAATATAAAAAAATAATAAAATAAACAAAAAAAAAATTTAAAAAAAAACAATAAATAAATAATAACAAAAATAAAGAAAAAATTATAAAAAAAAAATAAAGAAAAAATTATAAAAAAATAAAGAAAAAATTATAAAAAAAATAAAGAAAAAATTATAAAAAAAATAGAAAATATTATAAAAAACAAAATAAGGAAAAATTATAAAAAAAAAATAAAGAAAATATTATAAAAAAATAAAGAAAACTTATAAAAATAGAAAATATTATAAAAATAAGAAAATTATAAAAATCAATATAAAATATTATAGAAATATAAAAAAAATATTAAAAATACATACAATGCATTAATTCGTGCGGTTTCTAAGAGGGCTCTACTAGTATTATTTCGCGCCGTGTTCATCTTGCTATATTCATTTAAAGGTACTGTCATTCGCGTCGTTTTCGCAAATGTCATTTTGTTTAACGTGAACAACAATTTGTTTCATTTTGAAAGTTCGAAATTTGTACCAGATAAAGTGTTTTGCGGGAGTTCTTCTTCATTACTTTAACATGAAGAAAGTACTCAAAATATCGTATTTACTATTACTATGTGACCATACCGAAGACAGACGTGCCAAAGTGGTTTACAGTTTGAAAGTGCAATTTCGATTTAGACGAGGAGAACAACGGACAGCCATATAAAAATTTCAGGACGAAGAATTGGAGACATTGCTCACGCAATGTTCCAGACGATTAAAATGTAAAAATATATAAAAGATATATAAAAGATATATAAAATAATATAAAATATAATAAAAACAAATTGTTTTTAATAAAGAAATATATAAAAATTAATAAATAAAAACAATTACAAAAATTATAAAAATTAAAACAAAAAATTTAAAAATAAAAATTAAAACAAAATTATAAAATTAAAAACATTATCAAAATTATAAGAAAATATAATAAACAGAATTATAAAAAGATTATTAAAAATATATAAAGAAATAAAGAAAATACTTATATATAAAATTATAAAAATTATAACAGTTTGAAATATTATAATAAAACAAAAATAAAATACTACAAAAAAAATAACAGATGACACAAATGAAAGCTTATACTTAAAAATAATCAAATATATTAATTAAATTTAGAAATGTATTTTAGGAAAATGCAGATGCAAAACATTAAAATATTTATTATATTTATAGTACTAGAATTTTCAACGTTTATTCTCTTTATTGTATTTTCTCCAGTTTACTAACAAAAAAATATTAATAAAAAGTGTTGACCTTATGAACCTTATGGTTCTTCTTGCAATTATATGCATTTTTCTGGCCTGTCGAGATCCTCTTCGCCCTTCTTCTACAAATTGTATAATCATTCTTATGCAAATAAATATTTAATATATATACCGACCTCTTCATCTTCTGAATGGTACTCAAAGTATATTCGCGAGTTTTAGACTCTTTCAGACGCCTAGATGTACGTTCACTACCAAACTCGCAACACTCACCAAATCATCGTCATTTCCCTCTAATTAGAAGAGAAATAAAGTTTCGATAAGAATAGAAAAATGTATTTGCCGTACTGTCCTTCACAGGCTACGCGTCACGTTTCGTGCACAAGAAGCTTTTATGTGCGATGAAATCGTCGACATCATCACTATCCGGCACGTAGAACGTGAGCTGCGCTCTGACCCGCTTATTTGTGGGGACGATATGAAACTCCACTACAAACTTTCGACAGTTGTATTTTAATAAGTGCCATAT